AGGGTTGACGGTAATTCCTTTTCTCTCTCCTGTCTCTCCCACCATCCAGTGGGTGATCGGGGTTTAGTATGATGTGAATGATTAAGAAAAGTTTTTCTATATCTATATGATATGGCCAGGGCAGAATTTTATTCAACTTGATCATGTCAGCTTTTACTTGGCTTTTTTCCCTAAACAAATTTATCTACCATAGGGCCTTTACACACTGCCAGAAATAATGCAGCTTGAGGCCACCTTAATTGTCCAGGCTCAGTGCTAAGGAATCATGGGAATTGCATGTTTTTTCTGGGACATTGAGCCTTCTCTGTCAGAGAGCTCTGGTGCCACAATAAACTACAGTTCCCATGATTCCTTAGCACAGAGCCAGGACAGTTAAAGTGGCCTCAAGCTGCATTATTTCTGGCAGTCTGTAAAGGCCCATAGTTGCTTGATAAGTTGTGTTTCCTTCTTCTGCACCTTTTCCAGCTCAACTCTGACTTTTCTGACTTATGGCAACCCTATCACAGGGGTTTCTTGGCAAGATTTGTTCAGAGGAGATTTGCCATTGCCTTCCCCTGAGGCTGAGAGAGTGTAATCTGCCCAAGATCACCCAGTGGTTTTCATGGCTGATTTGGGAATCGAACCCTGGTCTCCAGAGTCATAGTTCAACACTCAAACTACTACACCATGCTGGTTCTTCCTCCTGTCCTTACTCCTCCATTTTCCAAATCTAAGCCTGCTCTTTGTATGATGCTTTTTGCAAACCAATTGAGCAGACAGGGTGAAAGGATGCAGCCTTGCCTGACCCTTTTGCCAATTGGGAACCATTCTGTTTCTCCATATTTTATCCTAACAGTTGCCTCTTAAGTACAGATTCCTCATTAGGACTATCAGATATGGTGGCCCTTCCATGTCCTTAAGAGAACAGATCAAAACCTGAATTCTCCTAGAAGCCAAGATGACTCAACTGAGTCTGTCATACTTTGATGGGGTTGTTTGACTGTTTTAACTTGTAATGTTGTTTTAATTTGCTGTACACCGCCTCAATTGCGCTGCAGAGAGGCGGCATTATTATTATTATTATTATTATTATTATTGATCATATAATGAGAAAACATGACTCACTGGAAAATACATTGATGCTTGGTAAAGTATAAGGCAAAGCCAGTGTGGCATAGTGGTTTGAGTGTT